AAACCGGCACAGTCGTCATGTCACTTCAAAAGACTGAAGACGACCCAATAGAGTTTTGGAGGATCCAGATAGCAATGCCAACAGACGAAGAAGGGCCAGAGCCCACAAACGAGGAAAATCCATTGCCAACAAAAGAAGCCTCTGGTTCAATGACGGCACGTAGCATCTGTGCTGCAGCAATTCCTTTGGTAGCACTCTTTCTATTATAAAATATAAACCGACTATAAAAGCACAGAATACGTTATTTTTATTATTTTCAATGGTGCCTTTGAAAAGAGAATCGATATCTTTACATCTTACAGATACAGTGGCAGACGGAAACTCTCGGTCATCAACACGATTTGAGGGCGGTGGTTGTTCTACCCCCTTGTCTGATGCAAATGATTGTCTTATATGGCTTTACAATCATATGGCAAGAAGTCGTGGCAAAATACCTGACAGCCGACAGAGGCTGTAGCGCGCATTTTTCAAAGTGCCGTTGATTTCGGAGTCGCATGGTCCTCCGTTCCGTTCAAGGAAAAAGCCATATCTTCGTCGGACACAAAGGTAAAAGGATTTCTAGAGGGGCTATGTTTCTGCACCGATGGAAGCAATATATGAGATCAGATAAACCTTTTCTAAAAAATATTATGGTGCTTCGCTTTGAAATTCAAATCCTTTTTATTGGCGAACATATTGGTGCACCGCAATGCATGTTCTATTTTCCAGTCGGTGTGCCAGTAGTTAATTATATACCTTCAATTAACTGCTATTTTAAAATATCCAGTGAGTTATTCGGATACGCCCACTAGGCCGCAGAGAGTTCAATAAGAAGTGGATCTAAAAATGATAGAAACGAAACCCGAGTGAGCAATTGTCGTGTCACCCCAGGAAAAGCTTTTTTCTCATCCCATGAGAGGGTCGTGGGTTTTCAATCAAACATAATTTCAAGAATTAGAATTAACCCTTTTGCGAACAGAATTCAAATCTGAGAGTTTCTCAGATTTGATTATGGTACATTCTACATACGTCAATCAATATTTTGGTCCAATTTTGGATACCTTGGCTTTTCAAATCTGAGAATTTCTCAGATTTAAAAAAAATTGCACGCCAGCCTGCCAAAGGCCAAAATTAATTAAATCTGAGAAATTCTCAGATTTGAATTCGGACCGAAATCACAGACAACTTGCCATCAATTTTTATATATCATTCATGTCATATATATTTTTTAAATTTTTTTTGTTGGAATGCATGATCTCACGGTCAAACAACCAAAGGTGCGCCATATATCTCCCCAAAACCATTGAATATTCAGCATCATGCTTGGATGATACTATACAGGGAGAAGAAACCCACCAAAACTTCTGCTAGTAGCACCTTGCAACCATGGCAGAAGATCTTGCCAATAGAAGAATGCGTGGACTTGGTTCTTGTGTTTGCTGGGCCAGAGGCTCCACCTTATTGTGGCAATCATTGCAAGGCCAATGTCTTCAATTGAATCCATGCGATCTTATTGGAGATGATTGCCGAGCACTGTACCATCAATGCATTTGATCAATTTCCTTGCATAGCAACAATGCCATAGTGAAATCCATTTCCTGGTCATGAGAGTTGCTTTTAAAATGGGAGCAGGATTGAGGAGATCCAACACTTGATACGATTGAAGAATTAGCGATGTGGCGTTTACAAGACAATCAGCTTCATGACGGCATCTTGGAATCAGGCTGGCTCTTCCTAGAAGATGAGACAAGGTTTCATGGACAGCCAATGAATCAGGCTCCCAAGTTGGAAGTCAGAACAAGAACAATAACATTACTATTGAGATCCACCTCCTGGTCAGGAGAGTTGCTTGTCAATTGGAGGCTGAAGAAGATTACCAACCATGGCTATGTAATCTTGTCCGATGAGCTCATAAATAGTACAGTAGCATATGTTTTAAAAAACATTAGGCCTATTACCACCTAGTATAAACTATTTACCTACTAATGACTACCGGTAGGCAGCATCACCAAACAAATGTTGGTGTTGTCCCTGTTAGCTAACACCATACTTTGGCACTGAAAGAATGATAGTCAATCACAGTGAGTCTGGGTCCCATCACAGATGAAAAGTCAATACAAGCACTAACCATAGTGGCACCAACTTTATCTGCTTCGCATTGCCATCAGTCAAATCCATTTCATCAGGCAAAAAGTACTATACTAATACTAATTGGAGCACAATCATTAAGGCAGTGGAACTCTAAGGTGAAGATGATCCATCAATCACTTGCTATTAGTATACTTTTATGAAGTGGAGCAATCATGGAAGCATAAGCACCATGACTGTCCAAAAGGACATCAGCAGGAACTAAGATCAGTTCCAGTTCCAACAAGTAGATTTGTCTCCCTAATAACCAGTCCAGCGCCATTGTTGCATATTTATACATTGGAGCATTCATTCTCTTTGATCTGTACCCTGGGGGAAGCATAGGTAAGCATGGCAATCAACTGAAACTCTTGACCAACAAGAAGCATCAGCTGGAACTCACCATTTTGTCCATCAAATCCAGTTCTACTCCTCAGAATTGCCTCAACCATGTCCCAATTGCTCACTAGTATGTATTCATTGATTGGAACAATCATTATATTGGACCCATATAGTGAAAGCACATGGTAAGCATGATGATGGATCAAAATTCCGCAACAAGCATCAGCTGGAACTCACCATTTTGTCCATCAAATCCAGTTCTACTCATCAGAATTACCGTGGCCATGTCCCAATTGCTCACCAGTATGTATTTCTTGATTGGAACAACCATCATATTGGACCTATATGGTGGAAGCACATGGTAAGCATGATGATGGATCGAAATTCCGCAACAAGCATCAGCTGGAACTCACCATTTTGTCCATCAAATCCAGTTCTACTCCTCAGAATTGCCTCAACCATGTCCCAATTGCTCACTAGTATGTATTCATTGATTGGAACAATCATTATATTGGACCCATATAGTGAAAGCACATGGTAAGCATGATGATGGATCAAAATTCCGCAACAAGCATCAGCTGGAACTCACCATTTTGTCCATCAAATCCAGTTCTACTCATCAGAATTACCGTGGCCATGTCCCAATTGCTCACCAGTATGTATTTCTTGATTGGAACAACCATC